ACAGCAGCACTCCCTCCATAAATGTCTTCCGCTAAAATGTGGATGTGAGTTAAGTGAGTGGTGCAATCTCATATTCCCTTCCCACAAACAGCATCCTCAAGGAGTCTTACCCACTCGCATAATGCCTTTTTTTTTTTAAACCTGCATAGCTCTGCCTTAGCAGAGTTTTGCTCTAGGCAGATGGGCAGACAGTCCTGTGATTTAATTGCTTTTTTCCTTTCAAGAGAGAGCTGGAAAACGGGTGGGAAATAAGCTCATTCCAAAGTGATTTAAACAAGCTATGTCTGTGGATGAGGACAGGCTGGTGGGTCTGCAGACCGGCAACTCCCAAGTGCAGCAGAGAGCAGGAGCGTGAAAGTGCCGCCTACGGGATCCCATGAACCCGCCTCACCTCTGCCCCGAGGCAGGGCACCCCAGGTCTGCAGGGGGTGCAGCCTGGCTGTCCTGCTGTTGGGGCTGTCAGTGTTAGTGCTGGGTGCCCCGGTGCCTTTGATGTCTGAACACGGTTGGGCTGTTGGGTGCTCCTTCAGTACCGCTGCCTCAGAATCCTGCTGCTCTCGGCAGAGATCTGGGAGACTGGGATAGACGGGAACCCCTCGTGTCTATTCTTCGTAGTACAGAAGAATAATAAGAAAAATGTGTTCGCAGGCCCTTATCACGCATGGTGAGGGGGTAGCAGAGGACAGTCGCTGCTGCCTTTCTGCGCCGGGCACCCTTGCAGCGGAGCGGGGGTCACAGCTGCAGCCCTTGCTGCCAGCCCGGCGGGGCGCGGCGCTGGGCTCGCCCAGCCCGGTGCCATCCTGTGGCTCACCGCAGGAATAGCAGCACCCTGCTTACGGAGGCCTGGCGAGAAAGCCGGTGTTGTGCAGGGTGAGATATTTCTGCATTATTTCTTGTGAGTCATTTGTTCTGGATGTAAGGGTCCCACTCCTACTTTGACTTGTATTGCCTTCGTAGCCTGGCCTTTTTTCAGTAGTTTTCTTGCTCCCACCGCTAAAGAGCTACTTTATGAACTGGACTTGTAAGGCAAAATATTAAGGTAAAGGCATTAGTATTTGACACCAAACAAAACTGAAAAGAACAGAATATTCCGAATAAATGAGATGCACAAAAGGATTGTAGTGTTGGGTAACCTGCAATCCAATGGGCAGGCTTTTTTGTGGTGCATTGCTGCACATATGAAATGTCTCAATTACTTAGATAATTGATTTAATTCCTAATCTTTGGTTTAAAAACCTGTTTGTGGTGACTTCAAACAAAGAAAAAAAGCAATCGTGTTTGAAAGATCTTCCTAAAGTTTTGAAGACAAGCGCGGTTTCAAATGAAGTTCATGCAGTAATTAGGGGTTATCTGTGTTCTGTGGGAGAATAAATTGAAATATCAAGCTTGAACTGCTCAGAAAGGCTGGGATTCGCAACAGCATTTAGCAGTTTATGTCCCAATGAAATCAGTGGGACTCAGGCTTTTGAATGCCTTTGTAAATCAGAGTGTGAACGTCTGTTACTGTAAGGTGCTGAGTATAGTGGCTCTTAATGGACTTGAATGGGCTCATCTGCATCTTTAAATTGAGTGATAGATTAGTAGTGGAGCTGGACTCAGAACCGAGGAATTCCTCGTGCCTGAGCTCAGCGTTGGGGGTCAAATGTTTCTGTCCTTGGGTAGTTTGCCTCTGGAGTACTCACAGGGACTTTGGGGGGAGGTAGCTTGCAAGTGCAGCCCTTTGCGTACGTAAGGTGGTGTGTGCTGGCCTTTAGCTGGTCACTGTGTGCGTGAGGCACCCAGTGCCTGAACCAGCAAAGCAGGAAACCCGGTAAGACAGCTGTTCACCAGTACAACCAAAGTTTGATGTCCTTAGAAGTGCTGGTGTGGTGTATTGTCATACACTGGCCCAGCTCAGTCACAAGATACAGAAATGCAGGGAGAGGGACTGTAGCCAACTGACAGTCTGTGGGGAAAAAAATAATATATGAGTCTAGGCTGACCTGCAAGTGTTTTTGTCCAAAGGTATTGTTCTTGATGGTTAGGTTGTGTAGGTTAAGTACAACTGATCGAGTATATCATGGGCTATGGTTCCAGGTTGCCTTTGAGAGAGACCAGCAGGTGAATGCTCTTGTGCTCAAGTGTTTCCTGTGTTATTCTTGAGAGTTCTCTCCAAAGATTCAGTCCTATGAAACTCAACTGTTTGAGTGGGCATGCTCATGGGGAAGAGATCACAAAAGAGGATATGTGACACAGGGAATGCTCATGGGGATGCTCATGGGGAAGAGATCACAAAAGAGGATATGTGACACAGGGAATGGTACCAGAGCGTTTCAGACTGAATGAATGGGATGTTGAATGCTGAAGGAAGACATTTCTTTAGTGGCATAGAGGCTAAAGCTTAGGAGTTTAGCACTGTGGATACTATGTGAGAGCAAGATGCTCAATGGTGTGAAGATTTTTGAAGCATTACTTAGTGCAGGTTCCCAAAATTTAAAGTCGAGTCATGTCCTCAGAATATTTTGGGATTGGTTCCAACACGTACAAAGTGGAAGCCATTGTATTTCATTTTGATTCATGAACTCAACTCCAGCCTGCCGTGTGATGGTCCAAACTCCGTGGCTGGTCATCATTTGCTGTGTGACACCTCACAAGAGAAGTCAGTAAGATTTCAGGTCTTATCTACATGAAGGGTCTACAACACCCTCCCTTTCCTCCTGCACTTTATCCTGCTCTTCCGCTACCACTCAATTTGGTGTGATTTTAAAACTTTTCTCAGTGCATCCAGTGCAGGTCCCAGTTTGCAGGGAAGGCTTGCAGTGGTTGTAGGAGAAGGAGGTGACTGGCCCTATGTAGACTAGCCTGGATGACTGGAGCTTCTGGGCAGGTAATTTCCTGGGAGCAGAGCTACTGGGAACTGCGCAACACAACTGTGGGACAGGTGTGAAATAAGGAAGGTTGTACTGACCTATGTCAAAAAGTGTCTTTTCTGGAGAAGGACATCACTGGCATAATTTCTGTGACCTTCCACATCCCTGTTTGTTGCTTTTCCTCCAGTTATCCCCTGTGTCGTATCTCAGTGGAGTGTCTGGAGTGGCTGCGCAGAGCCTTGCAAGACAACGTATCGTGTTCGGAGGAGGCACGTCATCCAGGAGCCCAGGAATGGAGGAGAGGCATGCCCTCCTCTGGAGGAGAGGGCTGGCTGCGTGGAGTACCGGACTCACCAAGGAACAGAGTGCAAACAGTCCCTGAGTAAGTCCACTGAAAATGTAAGTGTCTGGGTAATCGGGGGGAGGACTCTTGTTTGGGTCAGCAGAACTGATGTCTCTTTACTGTATTTGAAAAGAGTTGTTTTCATACACCAGCGTGTTTGCTCTGGGCCTGTCTGGTGTAATTGAGAAATGAGCTCCTCACACAGGGCCTTAGAAATATCCTTCCTGGGACATTATTTAAAAGTAGTGCCTGCCGTTTGCTGTGATCTGCTGTGTTTCAAAAGTGAAATATTACAGGCCTGTTGTGATCTCACTTATACAAATGTAAATCTCTGTCAATTTTGGTAGAGTTGGTAGATTTATGCCTGTTTAAAACTTCTGTAAGTGGGTGTTGAGCACTTTTTAAATTTTTTTATATTTTTTTTTATTTCATGAGTCATCTGCAAAAAGTCATGAAGGAGCAATACCCATCAAAGGCAAGGTATGACTTCTCTGCGCTGGAGCAGAGTGCAGGCAGAGGAGACCTCCAACTAGTTTCTGGAGAAAAAGCCTGATTTCAGTTTGTTCAAATCAACTTTTCATGATATACTTTTACTGATTTTTAGAAGAAAAATGCTTGTCATTTTTGCTGGTATTTTGGGGTCAAAATCTGTCCAGTCTGGATGTTGGCTACAACTGACTTCTTCAAACGTGTTGAGAGTTGGTATTAAGTGAATATTGCCTTCCTCCTCTGTCTTTTTGGTGTGCCTGACAAGTAGGCTTACTCTGCTCAGGCAAAAATCTGGCAACAATACAGATTCTCTTTTCAGTGAAATGGTTGATGGTCATAGATGATACGAAAATACAAAGTTTAGAATTGTTTTTGTCTCCTGCTAAAAACCGTATGACATTAAAGGTCCATCTTCACTGTTTTGCAGACGTAAACAGCCTTAGTGCAGTATTGCCACTGACGCTATGTGCTCTTTCTCTTTGATACACACAGTCCCAGCATTAATAACAACAGGAGGGTTTGGAAAAGCGAGGAAAAAAAGAGCTGCAGCTGATGGCAATGAAAGAGCAGGGTAAGTTGGAGGCTCAGCACAGGGGCTGAGTCATACTCCACCTTCAGTGTCTCTCTGGTTGCAGTTTTGGGCCCAGCTTTTTGCTGATCAGAATTAGCGTTTCCCAGCAGAAGGGTGGCACTTCACTAGAGCCGGGTGCTGCTCTCCCCTCAGCGACAGCAGTATCTGCAGTGCATCTGAAGGTTGTGGGTCTGCCTTGATGTAAGGCCAGTACAAGACTGAAATTTGGCTCTTCATTCATGGCATCACTGCTGTTTAAGGTTGTGTGATCAAAAAGCCAAAGACCATTCACTTCAGCTCTTCCCAATGTGGAATCTGGTGCAGTTTGCACTTTTTTACATAAATGGGGTAAATTCTCAGGGGACAGAGTTTGCTATCTTGTTGCATGGGAAGCACATTCCTCTCCCTTTTCAGTCCCCCTTGGCTGTAACGCTGCCTATTTTCCCCTCCAGCACTGTTGCACAGCACAGGCACAGGCAGGGTTGTGCAGAAAGCTCTGTTGCATTTTACCTTCTGAGACACAGCCATCTCTGTGTGTGCTGCTCTGCCCCCGGGCTGGTGCCTCAAACACAGGGGAGCTAGCATCAGCCTTCCCAGTCCTCCTTTTTCCCAGTTGGGGTTATGGCTAGCAGCGACCCAGTGCTGATGGAAAAGGTTATCTTTCACCCTGTAACCCCTCGTACACAGCTTTGCAAGGTAGTTATTCCCCAGGGGTTCTTACTGCAGTCCCTGGTGGTTTGCCTCTTTCTTGTTGAGAGCTGCCATTCCTGTAACCACTGTGTGGAGTTTCCCAGAGCTGCTCTTGCAGCATGAAGCAGCCGTGCACTTGTTGATTTATTTCCCCACATGCTGTTGTACATGTAAGTATTTCCATAGTGCGTGGGTGCATCCATCCTCCTCACTTTAGTGTCTGAAGGAAAGAGCATCTGTTCACCCTGAGCCTCCCTTGGGCTCCTTATTAGTTGAGCCTTCTCCCTGTAAAATTCAGAAATGTGAGCACAGCTCTATTGCACGCCTATTTATCCTTGCTCTCTTTGCCTCAGATAAGACAAGGAAGTAAACTGCTCACATGGTTCAGTGTGCTACTTGAAGGTGTTTGGAAATCCCCACGATGACTGATACAGAACCAGTCTAGACTAGAACCCAATTCTCTGCTGTGTTTATAGATGGTTACTGAACTTCCTTGGTTTTCCCCTCCAAACAAGGCCAGTTCCTTTGGGCATTCCTCTCGGGTTTGGTTAAAATCAGCAGCACAGCAAAGTCAGAGCAGGGCAGAAGTGCTGTGTCAGTCTGGTAGTCCTCCCACTGAGATATGACAACCTCACTCTGTCTCTTAGGAGGGAGATCATCACAAGGAAAACTTTTACAGACCGAATCTCAGCTCCTGTTGCAAGTTGCTCTACAAAACCCATTATAAGTAACTGAGAGTAGATGATAGAGAAAGTGTGGTTCAGCAAATGGATACCAGACTTGGAATCAGAAGACCTGTCTGTTGGGTTTTTTGCCTTTAGTGAAATGCTTGGCCAATGTGTGTCTCTATTTGTAAAAACAGATGCCAGTAATATCTAATATTTTTTGATATGTCAGCTGAAAACACCGGCAGAGTAGTTTTATTCCCCATTTAACCTTGTCAAAATGCAGGTACACCACATGTTCTGGTTTTTATGACCTTGTGTCGGGGGCGGGGGGGGCGGCGGTGTTTGTTTTTTGTTTTTCTTAATTAGCGATCTACGGTCATCCAGTTTGGTCTGACTCTTCCAGTCTCGTGGAGAGCTCTAATCTGGTTTTTGAGCTAACCTACTTGGTTATTTTGGTTGCAGGTACTGTGTTGAATTCCAGCTTGTGGCCATCACACCAGGCTGCTTGCACAGCCACCACTCGTACACTCACTGGATGCAGTATCTCAGGGAGGGCCACACTGTCTGCGTGGAGTGTCAGCACCCAGCTTTAGACTCCAGAAGTCTACATTGTTATGGGGATGGCAGCAGAAGCAAAAAGTAAGAGTTTTAGCTTTTGTTTTCATGTTGAATTTTTCATTCTCCCTTGATCTACTTGTCCCAGTTTCATAATGCACTGTACGCAGCTCTCTGGAGCACTCTGCATATATTAACTGGTCTTTGTTGCATACCATGAGTTTCTTGCAGAGATGAAATGACCTGGTGAAACTCACGTATTAAACCAGTGGCAGAGCCAGGACTGAAGTGTGGGAGTACCTGCACTTAGTCTGCTAAATCTCACTGACTTTTAAGTGGCACAGTTGTGGAGTTTTTTTGTTTTAAAGTCGCAGCAGCCATGCTTCTAAGGTTAACAGTCCTGTCAGATGTCAAATAAAACCAAACTGTTTCTGATTTTTAAGCACTGGGGATTTTGTTTCTACAAGTGACCCTTTATGAGCATTTCTGGCAGGTGGCAGCTGGCTTAGGGACTCGGGGGATGTGCTGGCACCTGAGGCTGGGTGGAAGTACTGTTAAATCTTTGCACTTTCAGCATCCTTTCCCTGGAAAGCTGAAGAAGCTTTGGGGTGATTGACGGGGACCACGCAGGTTGTACAAATCGGGCAGACTCCAGCAAAGATGAAGGGAATGGCTTGAAGCTGTGAAGCACATCTGTGGCAGAGCCAGCAGCAGAGGAGTCCTGGCTCCCAAGCCTCTGGTCACTGGCGGCATAGCTTCTGCACTGCTTTTATCCTGATACTCTTAACCCCATTGTTAGTTTATCGAAGGCATCCTCTGAAACTGGTTAGCAGCCCTGCCTGAGAAAATCATTGCCCATCAGTGCTGGGCAGGGGTATTTTTAAAACTTATATAAATGTTGAAATAAGCATGTTCATTTGAATTAGAAACTCCAAACTAGGATTGTCAGGCCTGAAGCACACAATGTATTGCACTACCAAGACTGCCAATAATGGCCTTTTGAGGCCAGGTTTTTCTCAGGCTTTTAGTAAGAGGAAGTCACATTAGAGTGTTTTCCTTCCCTGCCTCAGTTTGTACAAAGGTTCCAAAAGCTTTTAGATCAAGAAGAAAAAAATCTTAACTGGTGTGGCCAGGAGTAGCTCTTACCTGCATTCAACATGTAAATTATTAGAAAAGCTTACAATAATGTTATTTTACTAAAACCCTGGAGCCAGATGGGAACATCAGATTAAGCAAAATAAAAAGTATATTCAGGAATTCATTTCCTCATTGGACTGCAAAAGGAGGGAGGCATTTTCATTTGCCTGATCTGGTGAACAGCACTGTACATGGAATGGAAGCGCAAAGAAAATGGGGCTGTGTCCTTTAGGAATGATGGTCTGATCGTCAGGTGTTGGCAGGCTGAAGGCTGGAGACGGGTAACGATAATGGAGTTGGGGTGAATGCTGACTGGTTCACTGAAGTCAGGGCTCAGCCTGCGTCTCAGCAGATGGTTTAGATCCATCCCAATTGAGCAGAGCCTAGAAATTGTTCCCAGAGTCTTGCTGGAGGTCTGTAAGATAAACTGGTGGGTCCATTTCCTCATAGGCACGTGAGACCCAGCAGGGAAACCAACTTTTAACGCAGTGAGCTTTTACCTCTCCAGCGTTACTGCCTATAATGTCAAATGAAGTCATGTGTGTGGCATTTTCTAGGCAGATATGAGCTCTCTATGTGTATGCCAAGCTGCGATACTGTGTGTGTTCACTTGGGTTCATTGCCTATGGAGGCAGGGCAGGGCTGGCCGGGGCTGGCCTGAGCGGTGGACAAAGCCCCTATCTACAAAAGGCAATGGAGATGTACTTTAAGCCTCCTTGAACCAGCAGTGCTGGGCAACTTTGTCAGAGATGAATGTGTGACTGGCAGGTGGAACACGGATGATGTCTCTGGTCTGCAGCTTCCTCATCCTGTGTGTGTGTGTGAAGCCTCCCTTACATTTCACATGGATCTTTTAGATAACTTCCACGTATCCCCCAGATAGGTAACCTCCAAACCTTACATTTCACATGGATCTCTTAGATAACTCCCACGTATCCCCCAGATAGGTAACCTCCAAGGCACGGTCTGGTGTTCTGTATCACTATTTGACCTTACAGTCGTGGGTCAAGGAGATTGTTGTCCAGGGCTGGGTATCTTGCTTGATTTTCTTGATATCAGCATCTCAAGTGCAAGTATTTACTATAGGTATTCTTTATATGAACAGAGCTATCCCCTAATTTGTTTCCAGAAATAATACACTTTTTTTTGCCAGGTGGTGTTGGGGAAAAAACTGACCTCCGTGATCTCTGAGAAGAAATGGGGCTGTTGGTGGGGACAGCCATTGAGTGGGATGAGGGAAATTCTGTGAAAAGGCTTTTGCCTTCTGTTAGAGTAAGTGGCCGTATCTGAGCACGCAGTCTTGCAAGGGAGCAGTGCTCTGAGGGGGTCGCATGGTGAGCTCCTCAGGCTGGTATTTGCTGGCCAGATGTGGAGGGCATAAATGTGATGCTTGTAAAGAAAAGTGGGAGAAGATGGGAAAGCAACTGCTGCCCTGAGAAAGAGGATGGTGGGAGGCCAAAGCTGATGCCAGAGCCTAGGATGCAGCATGTTTTGAGTTTGCCTAGATGTGCTCACAAGTCTCTGGCTGTATACTCAGTTCACCCTCATTTTGAATTTTTGCCTACGTAACTCTGCCAGGAGACACGGACAGTTTGTGCTAACCTCGGAGCAGTGGTTATGCCGACTGACCTGTGCCATCGCGCGCTGGCCTGGGTCCCTGGGGCTGCTGGCTGAGGCTGTGCGGGGAAGCATGCACAGCTGCTGCTGTCCCACCCACGCCGTGCCGGTGCTTTGCTTCTCGCCCTGTCAGTTCGGCAGCTTGTGCCAGCGTTTAGTTCCCCGAGATATTGTTCCAAGAGTGACTCTCAGGAAGGAAAACATCTGACAGTTTAAAATAAACTCAGCAATGCTGGTATATTTTGATGAGTATTTCCTAATTATCATCTTGTGTCTGAGTGGAGTCTGGCTTATAAATGCTTCAAGTTAAAGAGGGATGCTTGTTATCTGTGCCTTCCACCTGTCTCCCACTCTGTAGAAGATGCTAGTTCATTTTAACCCCTGTTATGCAAGCTCAGGAGGTTTCCCAAAGTTCTTGATTTATGGCCAGATCTGTGGCCATCAGGTGGGGATAGCTAGGATCATCTAGCTTACATTGGCTTCTTTCTTCTAGAAGGTTTTGAGATAAACAAGGCAGAGCATCGAGCTGGGAAATTGATCTGTTAATTTTGAATCATCTTCTGAAAGATCTACAAATCAAGCACAGACTTGACATCTGTGAAATTGTTACTCAGCCTGTATCTGAGGGGATCAGCTGCTTTTCATGATCTGGAGCAAGATGTGGTGGTTGTAGCACATAAATGTCCACACTGCAGCAGTTTATGCCCATGCTTATGGGTCGGAGGGAGAGAGATGATGGATGGACTTGATTTATAGCAAAGTCAGTGTTTGCCTTCCCCACCAGCAAGGTGAGAGTAAGCAAGTTTAGCTTATGTGTTTAAGGAGTAAAGCCTTTTGAAGGTAAAGCTGCAGCCCAGAGTTTTGAAGGGTATGGGACTGGTCTGTGCGCAGCCTGCTTTGTCTGGGATCTTAATCCTCCCTGTGCAGATTACAGTATTTCGAAATGACCCCAAGCCAAAAGAAAAATACAGTGAGCCTTTTCCAACCATGTGTGATGCATAAAACCCTGCTCTGGAGCATGACATCTCATTAAACCAAGGGCAGGGTTATCTTTGTGGAGCTGGAGCAATAATTCCAGTTTCCACAGAACTATAAAACAAGCAGAAGTTAGGGGTCTGTTGGGCTATTCTGTGGGCAGCTCTCTGCACAGGGCAAGAGTTGATCCAATTGTGGTATTTGTGCTTCTCCAAAGGTCGGGGCTGGGACACACCGATGTGAGGAATTCCCTTAAACTACTAAATGCTAAAATCTGGGAAGAGGCACAGTGCTATAGCAGAATTTCAGTTTCTGTGGCCATTAGGCCAGCGCTGCTTGTGCCGCCACTGATTGTGAAAAATGGCCTGTGGATCTGCTTGGTTGTTTTAATAGGATATTTCTCTGTTCAGTTCTGGTCAATGCATTGATGGACTGCCTGGGAGAAAAGGGGTGGGTTGGTTGGTTGTTTTTTTTGTCCTCTATCTTGTTCCAACATTTGGGGGTCTGGTACCTCCAGCCAGCTGCCATCCAGAAGCCATGTTAGTGTGTAGCTCTTAGCCAGGCAGAAAAGCTTAGGCAAGCGTTCCACTGACGTGGTTATCCAGAGATGCTCATGTCCCTGCATCTGCTCACACAGACATGTGCTGTGTATTGTGTGCCAGGTACTTATTCAGCATCTTGATGGCTATGGGTGGCAATAGAGCTCTGCCTGCTGAGAGGGAGCATGGTGTTATAAAGAAAAATGGAGAAAGAGGTGTTTTGCCCACTTTGCAACCTGTCAAGTGTCTCAGTACAGGAGTTATGGGGATGTCACTGTGCTTTGCTGGGCACCTCGAGGGAATGTGAGTCCTTTTGGACTTAACATCTACAGTATGTGCTGCTCTGGGTTCTTCCAGTCCAGTGTTCCTGACTGATGGTGGCTTTACTTCACGCTATTATAATCCTGTAGGGGGTCACTGTGGTCGCTACTTCTTTACAGCGGCAGAAAGGCAGAATTGGGTCCGTGGTGTGAAAAATCGATGTTAGCATACCACGTGGGATTTACTGGGTGATTTAAGCCCTCATTATACAAGTGACTGCCCTGCAGCAGGGGTGCAGCACATTAACTTTCTCCCTCTTATGATTATGTTTCAGGAATCAGCTGTTGCACTGGCAGGCGGTAGGGAACCCTCAGTGCAAGGGAACCTGGAAGAGAATTCGCCAGCTGGACACTTGCTCCTGTCCTTCTGTTCACAGCTTCTTGTTCATCTAACTTCTCCTGACAGTCCCAGCAAGCGAGTGCTGTGGTGGCTTGTCTGGCACCAATGTGCGGCAGCAGTAGGAACCACAACCAAAACAATGACTTCTCCATGTCAGAGGCTACACCACTTACTTTCAAGAGGTTGGTGTCTGTACTGGGGCATCCTGAATCCTCTCTGTCTGTGTGTACTCCTCGACTTCCAAAGAAATCAGGCTGGCTGTGAAGTGCCAATCTCTTTCTGCCCATCCATCCCTAAGAGAGGCCTGTCTGACCCTGATGACTTCTTGCAAATTCCCCCTTTCTTGAGAGGAATGAGAATTCACCAAATAAGAAATCGGACAAAAAACGCCATACAAACCCAGGTTTAATTATTATTTTTCTAAAGTGACAAGGAAGAATCAACAATGCAAAATAAATTAACTCAAGTGCCTTCTTTTCATGGCAGTGGCACTTCTTTGTGGATGCTTCCTGCTTGTGCTTATATATCTTTTCCTTTTGTTTTCACCCTCCCTGGTCTCATATTGATTTCATATTGATCCTCAGTCTTACAGAGGGTTGATCTTGCACTGCTGAGACAATGGTGAAACTTAGAAATGAGCCTGTTCAAATCTGTGAGAATAGAAGGTACCAGGGATAAATGGGCCTTTGGACTTCAGGTTTCAAGAAGCATCTCCGAGTTGCCCCAAAATGCAGTGCAGTCCTGGGACTTTAAATAGGAAGTCATCCCAGCTATACCAGGAGGGCTAGCTAGAGCCTTGTATTTTCGACGGGAAAAATATTTGAAATATTTTCTTTATATTCTGCTGATTTATATTCATACTTTTCTATAAATGAAAATAAAGGAGACTGGAGACGTTCTCCCAGTGTGTATCTATTTGATTAATCCATGTAGTGCCATCTCTTTAGCGCCTGAACCTGCCTAATTTGTTCCAGCCAATGTTGCCGCTGACTCCTCTGCTCTAGCAGGTAAGACTGGAGGAAAAGTTGCTGCTGTCCAGTTCCAGAACTACTCAGGATTTACAGGTGGAAGTCCAGCACCATGACCTACCACTATGCAGAAGTGGATGTGATATTTCTTTTAATATACACATACTTCTGAATCTGCTTAAACAAAATTACAGAAAGGACTTGCGCTTTGTGGCAGAGTAGCATCTAGGTAATTAAATTTGTCAAAACCCAGGTGAGTGGCTGGGGGTGGCTCCAGAAGAGAATTTTAATGCACAAGTCTGACTCTAGTCTAGATTTGGATCATGAAACCCATCTAGTGACCATGTTAAGCGTCTTTCATGGAAACATGAAAGGGCACTGTGGATACATGCTTGAGATGCTTAGAGGTGTGTGTAGTACGGTGATGAGAGGTCTGAAAGCGCCTGATGCCTCTCGGCCAGTACAGTAGGGATTTGAGAGCAAAGCTCTTCTTTTCATTGTATGTTACAAGCTGTTTCTGTAGATTAATGACTCACAGTTGGATGATCTCATGCCAGAATAGCAAGATTTTAAGGAAGAAAAAAAAAAAGGCTTGTGCTTTACTGTCTGACCTAATCTGTAACTAACTTGTGGCCTGCTCAGGAGTACTTGCTGGTTTGTGAGCAGAGGGATGTGATCCTCTGAGAGATGGCTTGGGAATAAATAACTACAGTACACCATTTCGGTTTTTGCAGTGAGGAATTTCTATCAAGCTGGAAGCCAGTTTCATTTTCTTGGTGGAGATCTATAATCATAGTAGCATTTAGTCATTGGAAGGTTTTCTTTGTCCTGCAGATGCCCCGTATTGGGCCACAGGACCATAAAGAGGCGGCCGGCCATTTCAGGAGCAGAATGGAGCCAGCTATTGGAAACATTTTTCATTTTCAAAATCTACCCAAGCTTTTGACAACATGAAACCCTGCTCTTATCAGATGCTTTCAAAATTGAGTACTCAAGCTATAAAGGATGCAATTTTTGCTTAATAATGCTTTAAAAACTTAGTCTTCCACAAGTTGCATTCACCCCAGTGCCCCTCTCCTACAACATCAGAGCCAGTTGGGTAGGAAAAGGCTGTATTGCAAAGTTATAAATGATAGTGTCAAGCGGGAAAAGCCTTTATTTTCATCAGTGAAATGATGTGGCACCTTAAAGCACCTTAATTGCAATCCCTTTAATTTACTGAGTACTTAAGTGTTAGCTGTACTATATTTGTGTGTAAGACTTTCATTAAATTGTTATAGTACTTGCTGTCAAATATTTAGTCCTGACATTAATCCGTTTGGTTCTGAACCATTCAGGGTAGAAGACTGCCCTCCTGCTTCAGTGTCTTGAGAATAAGTGAGCCTTAGGAGCTGTTCTTTTGCTAATACTTCATCCTATTCTGGCAGAAATTGTAGGAGACTCTAGCCAGTTTTGATACAAATTTGATGTGTAGGAAGTTTGCAGAATCAGTCTCTTAAGTAAACAAAGGTAGCTGTGGAGAGTTGAGAAGTTTGCGAATAGGCTGCTCAGAAATAGTATTCTGGGTCAGATCACTACAGAATCTAGGCTAGATTATATTTTTTGGAGGCTCACAGTAAGTTTGCTAAACTGCATTTTAGGTTGACTGAAACTGCTTGTGAATTCATGCCACATTTGATGGTTAGTCCTCATAGGTGGAGACAGAGGAAAGAGGGGGATTTAGAAGTGGTGAAACATTTTTACACCTCCTAAATGAAGTGTTTCGATCTTTGATTTTGGAATTTTATTTCAAGATTGAAACAATCTGAGTCAAACAAAATATTTCATTCAACCCCCTCATTGTTTTCAAGTTTCTGTTTCGAGGAAAATACTGGAGGAAAAAACGCTCATTTTGAATTGACCAAAATGATTTATTTATCAATAGTGTTCTCTTTTGGGTCCTGCTTGTGAGATAGCCGTGATACTAAATTAGTAAGCACAAGATAGTCTGTTCCTACGGCCAACGACTTGTTGGTCAGGGTTTTCTTTGCTGCTGCCTCATCCCTGAGAGCTGATAACATGAGGTCCTAACAAGAGCTGCTGACGGTGGCATGGTAGGACTTCCAGTCTTTTGCTTCTGTCACTGTGGCCTGGAGATGCAGGAGTATGAAAGAATTAGCCCCTGAGGGACCTTCATAGCAGCTATATTTCTACACAGGCTATGTCACTTGATGAAACAAGACATCGCAAATGGCTCAGTGCATCAGCACATTCTGAAAAGGGCTGTGGAGTGTGTTGGCTTCATCTCCGCACCTTGGGTGACTGTACAAACAAATCCTGTTGGTAAATTCCTGGGGGAAGGAAGGAGAGTTGCAAGTGTGTGTGAGAGAGAGAGAGCGCAAGAGTGAGCCTTTTACGTGGAAGAAGATAATGAAGCTGTCAGATCACTTTCCCTGCAAATGAAGATTAGCTCATGATGTAGACACATACTGGGTCCTGCCTGTTTCCCTCTAGGGGCTTTATCACTGTCCATCATCATCATCTCTATAATTTCTACTGCCTGAGTTTTGGGAAAGATACGACTATTGGAAATCCAAGGCAAAATACTCCTGAAAAATGGTTTTGTACAGTAAACAAGCAAGGCAGCCTTGCATTGAGGAGAGGTGGTTCACCAAAGATGACAGCCATTTCCATGACAACGCTAAAAACCTTTCACCATTGGGTATCAACAAGAGAATATCTCCCACGGCAAGTACATGAAGCCAGGAGCTTAGTCCTCATCTTCCATAAATCATCCTGTTGGGCACCGATAATGAGGAATTGCCAGTTGTGCACACGCAGCTCCACCTTGTAGGCACCAGCCTGGCTCCAGAGAAAGGAAGAGCAAATAAAGCCAAAGCACCAGTGAGCTGGATTTAATGTAAAAGGAGAATTAAGCTCAACTGACGTTCCTACACTTCCCTCTGCTCTCCAGCTGAGGATCTCAGTTTTTAATGATGAAAAGCCAAGCAAAAAATCCAGGCCGTTTCCCAAACTGCTGAAGAAGCCGTGTGATTTTCTCTGTTGTAGAGAAATCTTTCATTGTCATGGGATGGAGAGAGAGGGAGGCCCTGGGAGGATTCTGCTTTTCTTCACTCTAACCCTGTAATGTCCAGCCTGTGATTCAACAGTTTTCTTCTGCATTTGAAACAGAAGGTGGTAAAAGACCATTTTTTACCATGGGATCTTCATGAGGCTTATCACCTCCCTGGGTGTTGTGATATGTGGGATTGCAGTCATCTGAATGTATGAGGATCTGCTTCCTTTCTTAAGGAGAAAGCCCTTGGCATTTGTCAAAAAAGAGATAAAATATGCCCAGAAAGCTCAGGAGCCAAAGGAAAAGAAAAAGAACAACAAAAAAATGTAATTTTCTTGAATAGCCTTGTTGCTCTAAGAACATACTACTTTTTTCTTTAGCTCAGTGGCCAGAGGAGTTGAGCACATTCTGCTTGAATGGTAGGAGTTAGCAATGCTTCTCCATAAATGAGACTATTTTGTTATCTTTGGCTTTTCAAACCTAATTTTTTTTATCCTTCATTTTGAGTATTTTGAGTCTTTAAGTATTAAGATCACTGACTCTCTTTTTTTTCTTTCTATTTTTTTCTGGGGTTTTTTTTGTGAGAAAGGTTTTTTTAAGTCCTTTCCAGTTATAACATTAGTTGCTTGGTGATAGTCATGATAATGCAAGTGGAGGAGTAGAGGTGAGAAAGGAGAGGAGAGTCTGAACCAGCAGAGATTATTCTGTTCTGTAAATGTCTCCTGCAGCTTAAAACTACAAACCCAAATATTAGCATGATACTTTTTTTTTTTTTTTAAAAAACATTCTGGTTCTCCCATTCTCAAGCTGGGTGAAATACATTCACTAATAAAGACTGTTCTATGTATTCTGCAAATCACCAACTTTTTAAATCCACAGGGATATGCAGGGTCTCCAAGCTGCTGGTCTGTGGTACCCCCGGTTACTCTTGTCCCGTGACGCATGTGCGCGACTCACTGTGGCACTAGTGGCACCTAGACACGCATTCAGGGCAGAATGTGCTCTTATAAACATCTTAAATTGATATTGGAAAGGGAGAAAAGTGGAACCGTGGTACGGTTTGTCCTTGTCTGCTGACAAATAGCATGGTATTATCCTTTTTTCATGAGTTCAGGCACAGTGTGTG